GAAGTAGGTTTTAAAAAGTACAAAACGACAACAAAAGCAACAATAACACAAACAACAACAATAACAACAACAACCCCCCACAAAACAACAACAACAACAACAACAAAGCAACAAAACAACAACAATAACAGCAACGAAACAACTCCCCTAAAAAACACACCAAAAAACAAAGACGAAACAAAATCACCACCAAAAACAAAACTAAACAAAATGAAAACAACAACAACAACAACAACAACAACAACAACAACAACAACAACAACTTATGAGCCCAAACAAGCAAACCAAAAAACCAAAAAAAACCCCAACTCAACAAACAAAACAAAAGAACAATTTAAAAAATAATTTGAAAAACCGCTCCAAACAAAACGAAACAACATCAATCAAACACAATAACTAATCGGTTTGCTTTGTTGTTGTTGTTGAGCCAAGGTGGGAAGACCATCAGGTGACAGGTTGTTGCCCCTTCTGTTCCAACCTGGATATTGCTCAACTTTGTTGAACATACACTTGGTTTGTTGAGCACGGGACATAATTTGTCTCAATCCTAAATGTTGAAATTGTACGGGTTTAACGCCCCTATCAACACCTTTAGATTATTTAAGAGACGGGCCTCCTTGTTTAACGTCCGTCTCCGAAAGGACCGAGCCAAGTGGGGAAATTCGTGCAAAGTGCCTTTCCCAAGGGCACAACGTCGGACCGAGCTGAGGCTCGAACCCACGAATCGGCAATCTCACGCTTACGAGTCCAGTAGCCTAACCGCAGGCCTACCGATGTCTCAATCTGAGCAAGGAAGTGATATCAGATCGAATTTGGTCCTGCGTCTTGAGCTGTTTGGACCTTTCTGAAAAAGGAATGAAGCGCTCATTGTTTTTGTTTTTTGTTAGTATTTTACGGCGCTAGCAACTGTATAAGGTCATATGAGCGCGCGGGACACACCTAACATTTTCATTTGGTAGGAAATTTTGAATTTTGCCCGGGTGGCGACCGAAGCCTACTCTTATCGATTTTAGATCACCAAGGGATCTTTAATATGCGCAATTTGCACACGAGCCCTCCGAGCTTTTTCGCCCTTGTCCGAGAAGGCTAGGTGTAGATCTTTCCTACCAGAAAATCAGGGTTGTAGCTGAAAGACGGCAGTATGAAGGAGCCATGGAGTAGCAGTAGAAAGGCTGCTGAAAGAGTCAGGATCCCAGGAGAGTGGGGAAAGGAGGTTAGGGGGTGGGGGAAGAAAGAGGAGACAAAATCAGACGACAGAACAATGCTAGAGAGAGGGAAAGGAGGCGAAAGGAGACAATCTTAGAGAAGAAAATTGTTCGGTCGCTACCCGGATTTGAACCATATACCTTTGAATGAGAGGCCAACACCTTAATCTCTAGGCCTCGAGAGCCTTTGTCAAAACATAGAGTGTTCGGGCGGCGGGGGCTTGTATCCCGAGGAAACTCTACAATGAGATGGAAACAGTTACTTGGTTGAAATTAATTAATTAAACGTTTGGGTCAAGGCTAAGGTAATAAGAGAAGCACGCTGACACGTTGTTAGAGCCTAATTATTATTTAGTACTCTCACGGTGCAGTTGTCTTCACGTTCATTTCTATATTAAAGAATTTAAAAAAATTGTATTGTGAGGGTGCGGTGGCGGAGCGGTTAGTGCGCTGTCTCCGAAGCGGAAAGTCTGGGTTCGAGCCTCGGTTCGGACACTGATTTTTTTCGCCCATCCTGCCCACCCAGCAGTAATGGGTACCTGACTTCAAGTTGGGGAAGTAAAGGCGGCGTGGAAAGGAACTGTCCACCCTACCACAATATGCCGAAGGCCCAGGAATTTGTCTCACTAACATGGCAACCCCCAATGTACGGATCGGATGCGGGAACAACTTCATTGTGTTATCCCTTGCCCCTTTTTCAGATGCCATTTAGTGATCTTATTCGTATCTGGTAATCATTGACTACGAGAATGTAAGTCAGTAACTACAGTGATGCTTCAATACTGAGATGAAACACTATGAGAATATTATGAATAACAAGGATCAATAGATCTATTTGTCAGTGTTTCATTAATAAATTCATAAGTTTGAACGTAGAATTATTTCATCCCTGACAGGCAGCCACTTCTTGCCACATGCCATTTTTGAAGGTCTCAATATTTATGCTGACTAGGGAGGCTTCTGTTTTTGCGTAGGAATTAATTTTGAATTGTGCCCGGATGACGCTCGAAGGGCCTATTATTTTCAATGTTAGAACCGCCCTGGGTCTCGACCTTTTAGTTTAAACCTATCCGTACATCGTGTTTTACTATCGTATCCATACGATGTGAGGAACTCTGTGCCACCACTTTCCAAAGAGGAAATTTACCTTTTAATCTGATCCGTACGCTTTGCATGGCATTCTGTCAAAATAATTTACTGAGAAATACTGACAGTTTTAAAAAGATCATCGTACTAGAAGTATTCTAAATATATGTGAAGAATACAATCCCGGAGGTACGAAATGACCCCAGGACGTACGGACAGGGTTAAGTTAACGTGGGAACTTCCACAAGGAACCTTCAAATTATTCGTATTTTTCCGAGATGACAAGGTGATCGATCTAACCTACCCTAGGATCAGGGTGTGAAGAAAACTCGAGGAACCTTAATCTTAACTACTGATGATTTATTTATAGAAGCACCAATAATCCATGTCTAGGGGCTGTTTTCGCCTCTTTCTCCTCAGTTGCCAATTAATTATTATTTACACCTCTACTTTTGTGGGTGGTTGGCCGGTGCTCTGGTGCGGTTTGCTCCTTCTTTCCTATCAATCATCTATCGCCCTTATCTACCCTCCTTCTATTTTGTGTTTGTTACTCTCTTGTAACACCTCTGATCTTTGGCACTTATACGATCTTATTGTGTTGCAAGTGCCGTAAAACTCTTACTAATACTTAATACAAAAAAACATTAAGTTTTGTGCACCCTGAATACGCAATTTTTAATTTGTGTCACTTCCTGTAATCGAAGTGTTCATTTCATTTTCTTGTTGTACATCTTGGGTTTACATGTGTTTGCGTATCTCCTTAGTTTAGTGTTAGTAGAGGTTTTACGGCGCTCGCAACTGCATAAGGTCACTTGAGTGCCAGAAGATTAGAGGTATTACAAGAGAGTAACAAACATACAAAAGAAGAAGAGGAGATAAGGACGATAGATGTTTGATAGGAAATAAGAAGCAAACAACACCAGAGCACCCGCCAACCACCCACTACGTACCTCCATTCGGAGAATCAGAAAGAACAGTTAAATTTACTTGTTTGTTTGCTCCAGACTGAGTAAAAGTTAGAAATATTTTCACAAAGCAAACCCTTTTTGTCTTATTGCTATCTTGATTTCCCATGCGACGGTTTATCTGCAATCAAAGAAGCAGAAGAAATAGTCTGATTTATTAATGTGTTTACTATACACATCGAGTGATACTTTGAAATGTGTCCACAAAGCAAAACATTTTCTTTTCTTATTGTAATCTTGATTTTCAATGTGTTAACATAGTAGATACCTCAAATCAGAGAATCAGAAAGAGCAGATGAATTATTACCATGTACTTAATTGTTTACGCCAAATTTGGACATACGAGTATTTTGAAATCTTTTCCCAAAGCGCAAGATTTTATTTCGCTTTATAATCCTGATCATTCTATGAGTCGACAAAATATCACCATTCAGAGAATCAGAAAGAACAAACTTAATCAATTTACTTGTTTCTTTATATGCGCTCATATGACCTTATGCAGTTGCGAGCGCCGTAAAACTCTTACTTAAACTTATTATTTTATCTTCCTTC